GAAGGACCCAACACTGTTGGAGCATGATTTCTACACTGACCAAGCAGGCAGGGGGTGTGGGGGTGGGGGTGGGGTGGGGGTTTTCATGTGTCCAGCTGAAGGCTCCTACGCTCCTATCTGGGTCTAAACCTTGGGGCACCTGGAAGGCTGACCCTCTAGAGTCACACTACACTCTGTTCTACATGAGCATACAGCTCACTACTGCTAAACCAATTCATCAAACCACACCTTCCTGACCTGTGAGAGAGAGAGAGACAGAGAGAGAGAGAGAGAGAGAGAGAGAGAGAGAGAGAGAGAGAGAATATGAGAATGATGCATCTTCGAAAATAAAGGACTTAAACAACCAAACAAATAAGAGGCATGGCAGATAAAACAACAAGTAGGATGGTAAAGATAAAATAACTCTGAAACAATATAGACTTTTTCCCAGATAATCGTCTCTGTCCAGATATTATCAGTAGCCTAGGTCTTCATAATACATCATGTCAACATTCAGTGGACTCAGGAAATCCACAACCTCAATAAAAAGGAAAACCCTATTCATAAAAAATGAAAAAAAGTTATAATAAAATACAGTACATAATAACAACAGGTATTTAATACTTACACAGGTACCAAAATTATTTTAATTATCTGAATACAATCAAATCTGAAGAATATGTAAAAATATGTATGGAAGATCATGTAATTATGAATACATTACATATTTCTAATTTTACTTACATACTATTATGTTATTCTTCTACTTCAGTTGCGGGTTCAGAAATGAATGTGAGCACTTTGTGGTCCTTTAGCATACAAAGATTTAATAACTAATAACAAATATGGCAAACCTTTATTTCTGCTGAAGTTTATAAAGCATATAATAAGTAAAAAAAAGACATACTAATATCTAATGCAAGATCATATGCACAATGGGAAGAATGGTGAAAGTGTGAAAGAAAAATCTCAGTGTTACAGTTAAATACAAGGACTGTTTGCGTTTTGGGGTCAAACACCATCTCAAAAAGCCCAGACAACATCGAGGCATCAGAAGTTCACCAAACGCTACTGCCACGAAAAGCAGATGGTGTGGTCAGATAAGATGTGGCCATGTTCACAGGAAAAGGCAGAGGCATTTATTAAAAAGACCAACTGCATTTGTAATTACAAAGAGAACATAATTAGTCCTGTTTAATTAGATTCAGTGAAGAGAGAATGTGAAACACTGAGTAAAAATCACGGAATTTTTTTAAAAGTCTTTTTAATGTGACACTGCTGGTGCACGCTTTCTGATTCAGCTTACCAAATCATGCCTTTCACCCCTGTCTGAAATTGAAGACCTATGGTTTGAGGTGAACAGAGCTTTCCAAAACTACACACCAGGAAAGTTTCAGTATGGAGGAATGACTTGAAATGCCTCTCAGTGTGTTCATCAGTCTGGTCCAGCGTTACAGATAAAGAGTAATGGCCATTATCCTTGCTGACAGAAAAAACTCAGCTCTTACTAAGCTTTCTGTCTTATTATTTTCTTCTTGTATATCAAAGAGTTCCACTAATGCATAAGTCCATCTTTTTCATTATCACCTGTGATATTAGTCTGTATGTTCCTTATCTATATAACCTCTGAGCAATTGTTAGTAAGTAATCAAGGAATCATGAGTTCTATACAGTACCATTTCATGCTTAAATAGTTCTTTGTATGGTGAAATGGTTCTTCACATTGACGGAGAAAAGGGTTTTCCTATTGTTACAAGCTTGACATCGTTATCAATAGTAGAACCCTTTTTTTGGTGCTACATAGAACCATTTGGAAAATTTTCACAAAAACATTCTCCATCAATCTGAAGAGCCATTACACTGTGCATAGAACCATTTAAGCATGAAATGGTTCTATATAGAACTCATTGTTCTAGATTGATGGAGAATGTGTATGGTTCTATACAGAACCTTTTTGAAAATGGTTCTATGTCGCACTAAAAAGGGCTCTGCCATTGTTATTACGTCAAGCTTGTAATAGTAGAAGAACCCTTTTGTCCATCAATCTGAAGAAACATTTCAGCATGAAATGGTTCTATACAGAATTCACGGTTCTAAATAGAATGATTCCCTTTACTAAAGAACCCTTGAAGAACCTTCTTTTTTAAGAGAGTAGGATGATTAGTCTTTTCTAACTAATGTAACTTCCTTGCTTTGCAGTGCACTGTAAAAAATCAAGGTGCCTAACAGGTTCTTTTGAGTGATACCACAGAAGAACCTAATGGATGGCTCTTTAGAGAACCGTATTTTACAAAGGAAACGTGTGAGTGTGATGAAACTTTTTAAAGTTTTAAGACTTTCTGCATAATGTAAAGGTTTTAAACACTCTTGTAAAAAAGAGGTCATCAAATGGTTCTTGGCTTGGATGTACTGCTCTTGGAAAAGATTTTTTTATCCAGTAACTTTTTTACATTATATGAAGGTTCTTAAAACCTTAAAAGGTTCTTTATACTCCCATTTGAACAATGATTAGGGGGCTAGAAGTGGTTCTTCTATGCCATTGCTTCAGAGAACCGCTTTTAAGATTGTAGAACTTCACACACAAGCCAAGAACCACTATATTTTAGAAACCTTTATTTTTAGGAGTTCAGCAAAGAAGGCGACACTATATGAATTATGGTATACTGTGTTATACTGCTGCTGCCCACGAAACAGCCGACTATGAATGCTGAATAATATAAACTCTGTTATGATAGATTTACTTAAAAGGTTTTCACTGCAACAGAAATAAAAATATCAAAACCATAAATACACACAATAATAAAAAATGCTGCTTTGAGCCTTTATTTCTCGCAATTAGTATAATTTAGATTAAGTTTAATGGACTCTCTAGGGGACAACTAGATGTACTAACTGACAATGACAACCCATGATAGTTAATATCTAATTTACTGCACTTCAAAAATTGTGATTCAGATCTGCATATCTTCAAGAGATAGCATGCTAAACCATTCATGACAAAAAGAATAGATAAATAATGATAAAAGACAACCTCAGCATGAAAGCACTGCATGTGGTCAGGAAAGCGTCATTGATTCAAGTGGAATGTTTTCAGATTGTAATGAGAGGATTGTAGATTAGGAAACCAAGTAGTCATATTCTGAACAAAACTAACAGTATTTCTTTTCTCTGAAATTCCCATATACTGAAGGTCTGTGACAATTTGAAATACTGAAACCACCTCACATCATTTAAGTAAAAAGAGTCTCAAAATGTGACAAATCCTCAACAGTTTCTGATATGTTTAACTCTGAGAGCACTCTGACTGTAGTATCAATTCAAGCATATAATCCTTTAAGAAAAGCAGCCAGGGAAATTTGTCAGATGGCTTTTCTTTATATATATCTGAATATCTCTCAATCCTCAAAAGTGAGAGGACATCAAAGATCTGTAAGAACACATAAAGCTACTGAATGTCGTGAATATAATATGTATGATGGAACTTTAATGGTAAGGGCTGTAAATCTCAGCCATTGTTAAAACCTGCTTGTCTGAAACTGGACTGAGGTGAATTTCTTCAGTCTTTGCAGATTGGGGTCTCCTGCCTTGCCACCCCTTTTACCCCTTTTATCATCATCGTATTGATCCAGGACTCAGCGACTGTGGTGCGGAATAATACTCGGAGATAAATTAGGTGAAGTGAATGGTACTATACCTACTGGTTTCACACTGCATATCATTATAGTACCTTGGAATTGGTTATGGTGGGAAATTCCTGAGCTGTCTGAATGAACAGTTCACTACAATAAAGACAATGAAACAAACGCATAAGTTGTAGCACAGATGGATAAGGATGTACTGTTAGTCTGTAGGCTTGACTGATTTAATCTAACATTCATACACAATAGAGTACACCTGTACTGTAGCAGTGTTCAGTGGGTCAGTCTGCTTGGTGTGGAGTTGAGTACAGCGAGATATCACGCCTTTGTTCATTCTCTCTGTTTCATTGGTTGTAGTTCAAAGCGCATTAGTAGGCTAAATCTATAGTAAGGAAACAGGGACCGAAACTGAAAAGATAAACTCTTGTTTAAGCATATGGACGCTACAGAGCCTCGCTGGTGACATCCTGTATAAATAAAAATAATGTGTGGCCAGGACTTTGTAAGGCATGGGAATGAGATCCCATGGAGCCCTGCTGGTGACATTCTGTATAAATAAAAATAATGTGTGGCCATGACTTAGTAAGGCATAGAAACAAGATAATTAAGTTGTGGCCACGTCTTAGTAAGGTGTGGGACCGAAATCCTAATGCATGACCATGACTTAGTAAGGCGTGGGAATGAGATCCTAATGCGTGGCCACGACTTAGTAAGGCATGATCTCGTACCCACGCCTTACTAAGTCATGGCTACGCATTATTTTAATTTATACAGGATGTCACAGGATGTCACCAGCAGGGCTCCATAAGTTGTGGCCATGCATTAGGATATTGTTCCCATGCATTAATAATGTGTGGCCATGCATTATTTTTAATTACATGGGATGTCACCAGCAGGGCTCCGTAAGATCCTAATGCATGGCCACGACTTAGTAAGGCACGATCTTGTTCCCACACCTTACTAAGTCATGGCCACAACTTAATTATCTCATTCCCACGTCTAAGTCATTGTCACGCATTAGGATATCGTTTCCACGCGTTAATAAGGCGTGGCCACGCATTATTTTATTTATATGGGATGTCACAAGCAGGATTCCATAGTACACCTATATTTTTCTATAGCAACCAGCCCAAACAGGTTACACCTGAAAATAATAACTAAACAGCTTACGATACTGAAAGGAGGCCAACGAAATACAGCCAAACAGCTTCGCACTGACAAAGAGAAAAGTTGCAAATAACCAGTAATACTAGCAGCTTTCATTTCTCAGCCCCGCCCCTTCGCGTCAAGTTCGATTCTTCATAACAGAGAAAGACGACAACCACTGTCGTTTCGTCTTCCTCCGTCCACCTACCACTGACCGTGGCGCAGAGCGCTGCTTACCGTTGCCCGATACGTGGTTGTCCACTTCGATGTTTCCACCTGCTTGAGACGCGTTTAGTTGGACGAAAAGTGCCACATATTGTGAAATCCAGAGCAGCGCTCCAAACGGCCCCATGTCTTTCTGACGGCTCTTCACCAAGAGTTAGGCTAGTTCAGCACAGCCCACACATGAGGCGGCGCAGAGCGGAATGACAGCTACTCCGTTCAGGGGCGCCGCGCTCCTCCGCGGAGAGACTGCTGCCGCTTCGAGGGAGGAAAAAAGTGGAAGTGTCGCTGAATCTCCTCCGTCTGACTCGCTGAGGCTCACTTTCTTTCACCGCGTCCTCCCTCCGCCTCGCTTCGGCGCCCACGAATTAGCGAGCGGCGCGACTGTGGCGGAGGGAGAAGGGGCGCGAGGAGGAGGGGGAGGAGGAGGAGGAGTGGGTGGGCAGGGCTCTCTTGCATAATCAATTAGGCGGAGTGATACCGAGCACTAATTAATTCATTAAACATTTAGAGCGCACTGAGACGCGGGCTTAAATTTCACCTGGAAAAACTCAGAAGGCCCGGCTCATTTGTCGAACAGACTGGCGCGTGCTCAGGAGACTTCCATTGTGAACGCGGAACAAATGCAATTAACAATCGCGGAGTTATCGTAGCCTTGGATGTGCGGTTAAGTCAGTTGTATTAGCGACATGGAAAGACGAGCAGTCTTTAATTGGAAATCGTTTTATTCATTTTTAATCTAGGCTGTAGTCTGTTACACACACAGAGAGAGATAGAGAGAGAGAGACTGGGCTGATCACAAAGCAACGACTTCTTAATTAAGTTTTAATCAGTGTGAAATTATTCATTCCCACTCTTTGTGGTGTAAAGCTGCTGGGTGACTGTAGTGGATGTTCAGGTGCCAGAGGCAGCTTTCAAAACTTGCTCATAACAATCCACTTTCTATCTTTTAATCGCAAGTGATTGGAGCCATCTTGCCACCCAGAAGTACTAAAGCACTGGGCTCACTGCCAGGACATGCTCTCTGCATTTGTCCTTTAGTGTTTCGATTAAAAGGCCACAAGCTTCTCAAATATCAGATGGCTGGCTATGCCACTTGACAGATGTGCAAGCAAGTGTTGAAACCACCTTTAGGCTGCAACAGTAGCACCAAGGCCAGATGTCTGAATTTGGGGCCCACTGGAACGCCAGGCCCGCATGAAACACTCAGTATTAACTATGATCCACAAGCACTGCTACTTCACTTCAGGACCTTGGAGAGCAACCACTCACATGGAAGCTGCACTGCGGCAGAGGATAACTCCCCTCCTAACAACAAGAGGGCAGGTCAAGGGAGACACACCAGTAAGACTGTAGGGCAGTTGATCCTGGAGTAACCCTGCATGTTTTAGTGTCGTCCTGCTTTCAATGGGTTTCATTCACCAACTGTTCTTAAGAACAAATTTCTTCTTAAAACCCACTTGCGCAGTTTTTATGATAGTTTTCTTATTTGGGATTTGTTCTGAGGTAAGAACAGAATCTACACACACTCAAGAGCACAAAGGGGTGAACTATTCTGTGGTTTATGAACACGTCATGAATCTGACGTAGACTTTTTCTTAGGACCTTTCTCAAGAACAAATTAAAAAAAAAACTGAGGAAGACAATGGTTAATGAGGCCCATTGTCACTAACTGACTAACTTCCATTCAAAGGTCTTGTTTCATGACCCATCTATGCTCCAGCCACAAATGCACTCCATCATATCAGTCATGAAGGGCCATTACAGAACAGTGGTAAGAATCACATTAAATATAATGAATTTAAGTTGGAGTTTAGCTTCAGTAAATTAAATTGATATTCCAGTTAAAAATGCTAGGCCACTGAGCTGGACTGTGTTGTAATGACTGAATGAGCTTAGGCTGGTTGTTAACAACAATTTGCGACCATGGTAATGTTATCTTGATAAAAGAAAAAGCCTTCCACAAGCATACGATTAAATATCATCAAATTAATAATATTAATACAAAATTAATAATGCGCTCTAAATTTCAGTACTTTAAAACAACACATTTGTGAGTGGAGCATGGCGAGGTCCATTAGCTGGATCAGGGGCATTTTAACAGGAAAAACACCAAACTATTGCTGTTAGGAGAGGAAGACAACTTCTGAGATGTTCCCCAGTTAAACCTCTGCTTTCTCTCCTACACAACCACTTGTTGTTTACTCATAGACCTCCTAGACAAGCTCACAGCCTGACCCACTGCATGATTGGCTCACTTTCATTTCAGATCTGCACATCCCTACCCTAACCCAGCCTTACCTGCTCACTCACCACTGACCTCTTCCAGGCCTGGTCTAACCCACTGTAAATAAAACACTCCTCTGGGGCGAAAGCCATCTGTCTGTCCCTTAGTGTTCTGTGCTTGTGCCATGATGGTGTTGCATCCTGTCACACCTAATAATCATTCGCCAGGTAACTCTTGACTATGTGCATGTACACTCAGCCTGTCTCTGCTGCTCTCTCTGAGAGAGAGAGAGAGAGAGAGAGAGAGAGAGCAAATAATACAGTGTATTGTGAGTAAACATTCAAGGATAATATCTTTGGCCCATACATTTGACACATACCAGGTCCAGTACACTGTTAGAAATAAAGGTACTTTGCAGGTACATTTTTTGTTCATAAAGGTACAAATAGTGTAAATGTTCCCTCAGAGGTACAACAGTGGTTTTAAGTCCAATTGTTTACCTTAAATTAGTTTTTTTCCCAGTGGAAATGTACATATTTGTTTCCTTTCTTAACCTAATATTTTAAAACAGAACAATAAAATAAAAAGCCTGGAGACGAGATGGGGTGTGTGGAGTCAGTACAACTTAGAAAATATAATTTCAGTGGATTTTGGTACAATTATGTTCCCTGATTAAAGGTACTGAGATGTACCCATGGAGGTACCACCCCAGTGACAAGAGGGGACAGTTTGAGTGTGTACTGACCTTAATCTGGCCTTGCCATTTAAAAGTTAAGCTCGTTCTTTTTGCAGGACTTCTCAGCTGGTCAGCCAACTGACTGACTGACTCCTCATTATACATAAGGAGATACACAGTCACAAGAGTTTCAGGGCATGTCACAAAATGTAGACATTTTGGAGACTGTACACAGTGACATCTCAAAAATATATATATATTTAAAATAAATAATATCAGTGCCTACAACAACCACAAAGGATAAAATAGACTAATATTTCAACACTAAACACAATAGTAAATGACTGCCTGCTATGAAGAGATATACCAATGACAGCAGTTCTCCCACTAACCATAGATAATGGCTTATAATAAATGGGCCACATCTATGGGTGATGATTTTGTTAACTAAAGTGTCTTGAGAGCTAATTCCTCATCCCACACTCTCTCTGCGGAAATGTTGAAATTGCACATATAAAATGTGACAATCATGATCACAGCATGCAAAAGGGTGAAAAACTACAACTTCTTCCACATACAGCAAACTTTTTTCTTTCTCTTCTTTCTCTCAAATACACAACACCTAATATTCCATAAAATCCATATTCCATATGAATGCATGTAGTTTCAGGTTCTGCCTGTTGAGCTGTTATGTGTTGTTATCTGTTTGTTTGTTATGTTTATATTATTTCTTTTTTCTTCCTTCTTTTCTCCTCTCCCTTTTTTCACCACTTATCATTTGTTCATGTGGGTGGGTTGGGTGTTTGGCGGGTTATGGGTGGGTATGGTTACCACCACTACTTGTAAAACATCATATGATATCTTCACTATTATGAACTGTGAAATAAATGTCAGTAACAACAAAATACAGGAAAAGAGTTATTGTCTCTGAAAGTGGGGCGTGGTGTCTTCCACACAACCAACAGGCTCAGGGGATTGCCAAATGATGTACACATATAAATCATGTACACTACCATTCACTTGTCATATTGATATATCTTGTTATTTTACTTAGAACAAGGAATCATGCAATGCAGATTTAAATATTATAATCAAGACACCAAAAAGGTAGAATTATTGAACCATAAATTATATATTGTGATTATCTGTTTTCACTATTCAACTATTCAACCATTGCCTTTACTAAGAACCTTTGAAGAGTGATAAAATGATGCTTTGCTAGTTCTGTAAACTTTGCAGTAGCACATTAGGATCATTTTATACATTTAACAAAAACTACATAAGTTTTAAATTATTGAGAACATGGATTCCAAACTTTTGAACAGTACTGCATACTTCATACATCATAGCCAATAATGTTCCTAGGCTAAACCAGACTTGCCTTGTCTAGTTTTCTGCATAAGCCTGGTGATCTACCTTAAGAAATGCAGTTGTTATGTTGTAGGATTTTGCATCTGCTTATCATTACATTAAAACATTCCATTTTATGGTCTATTCCACCCTCATAGATTAATTTAGAGGATTATCATGGCATTGGCAGCATCTTCTTTTCCATTTTTTCTCTCTGTGTATTCCTCCATTGATCTACCGCTCGTTTCATAAGCGGGCATCACAGTAGTTCTCTCACATTTTCTTGGAAATCATGAAAGCTTCATGCTTTCAGAGAAGTTCATGAATATTAAATGGTGCTTTCAGTGCCAGAGAAGCCAAAATGACCTACGGAACAAATCGAAGCACGTGAAGTGAATTCCTTAATGTTACATTCACGTAGTCCAAACTCAGATACATGCAGGCAGTGTTGACAAACCTCACTCCATCCTCAAATTCACGGGGATTTAATACCTGACGTGGTTTAATTTCTATGATTTTCCATTTGCTGACACTGTTGGAGGGACTGTTTAGAATGTAAATCATGTAAGTGAAATGCCACCTGCATGGGTGATTTGTGAGTAAAATTATGACCTGTGGAGGAGAAGATCTGAAAGAATGTCTGCCTATTAAAGAGTATGTTCCTTTTTCTAACACTAGAAACTACTACAACCCCCCCCACCAAATGTAATCACATCCAAAAAGATTCTTTTAGTAAAACCAAATGTTGCATTTTTACTAGAAATATGTGGACAAGTGAAATATTTCTTCTAAGATGCTTCCAATGACCATTTAATAATTAGTTCAAGGATCTATGTTATATTCAAAATGCTTTTTTTTCGGTTGCTTAAGAATGATGTTGACATGAATAACGAAATGACCACCTGAGCGTTGACCCTATCCTGTCATTGGGAGATCGCAAATTCGATCCCTGGTGATGCCACAATGGCAAGAGAGTTTGAAAAGATAAGGTGACAAGCTTCAAATGACTCAGAGGATGAGTGAGCATGTGCCTGCCTTCATACTTCATGCACTGGCAGTATTGTGTGATAGGAGGATGCCGAGCTAGCAAGGAACACAG